GGGTGGATTTCAGGAGCCCACAAGAAGAAAACAATTGACTGTTCAGCAAAAAAAGGGAGCTTGTAGATGGTTTTCTACTGAAGTTGGAGGGGGGGGGGAGTTTCCCAAAGGGTACTTATCACAACAAGCAAGAAAATTCAATGTACATAGGTCAACCATCCAGAGACTATTTACAGACATCAAAACACAAATGGCAAAGGGGAATGTCATAGATGTCAGAAGCAAGAAACTGGGCAAAACTGGACCCAAACCCAGAGAGTACACTGATGAGTTCCTACAGTTAGGGGTGTACACCGGTCCAAAACCGGACCGGACCTAGACCGGACCTGTTTGGACCGGGGACCTGAATTGGGTAATTATGAGGACCGGGGACCGGACCTGAATTAACAGGTCCGGTTCCGAGCCAGACCTAAAAAATCAGGTCCGGTCCGGGTTTAGACCTGAATGGACCTGTTTTGTGTTTTTTTTTTGTTTTTTTTAATAAAAAACCTATTGGACCTGCATATGGACCCGTTTTGTGATTTTTAGACTTGTTGCATAATTTAATAATTACATACAAACAAAAATTATCAATCACAAAACTACATAAAGTCTATAAAGTCCCGATTCTCAAACACCAAAAATACAATTGAGTCCACCGAAAATACAAATAAGTCCACGAAAACTCATAACATTACATAAATTCTCTTAAGTCTCAACTCTCAAGTACTAGAAATACATAAATTCTCCAACGAGTTGTTTTCCCTTTGATCGCGTGATTCACACTAATGAGTCCACGAAAACAACTTCATCGTCTACATCGTTAGATTCACCACGTTGCACCTCTAAATAAAATACAATATAGAATATATTAATGATTGATAACAATGAAATAATAAATTTGGTGTAACAAAATTTCAAGTACATAAAATTATTACTACATTTCTCTATTTCCTCTAACTCTTTCAAATTTTCTTCCACATCAACAATTGGCACTTCCTTAGCTCTAAGCCAATCTTGTGTGCAAAGTAGCGCTTGAACCATCTTCAATAAAAAAATATTACACAAATATGTATAAACAAAGTCATATTAAGATATAAACAAACTTGATTTTATAAAATAAAAAGATAACGATGCATTACCTTAGGAGTTAAAGAACTCCGAAATGGATCTAGAGTACGACCTCCCGTACTAAAAGCATATTCCGATGCAACGGTCGACAATGGGATGGCTAGTATGTCACGTGCCATGCGATTAAGAATCACATAACGCTGACCATTCTTACCCCACCATGTCAATGCATCTTGTTCTTCCTCCTCCGGCCCTAATTGATCATTTAAGTACCTATCCAACTCACTTATCGCATACCCACTTGTCCCTTTCAATCGTTTTGCTCTTTCTTTTAGTTTCCTCACATAATCGGAATCCACTCCTTTATTATTATCAATATCCATTGACATATTATCTCCACAATCTGGAATATCAGAAGTAGCATACATTTTTCTATATTGCTCAAATAAAGAGTAAGCGAACTCCTTCACATCATTAGCAAGTTTTGTACCCTTTTCCGGTCCATGCATATCCGTTAGTGTCAATTCAACAATGACCATCTTAGAGTGAGGGTCGAGAAGAAGAGCAACATAAATGAACTTATTCATCTTATCCACATCCCCCCAATACTTATCAAACTTTTTTTTCATTGCAATGGCCATAGCTTGAAAATTCAAGTCCTCACTTTGTTCCCAATTATTCAACATATCGTACATAGGAGCAATTTCTCCTAAACCTTTATTAGCTGTCACATAATGGGAACCAGAAATTCGTTTAGTCAACAGATAAAACCCCTCTAGAAACAAAACTAACCTCTCCACTTTTTCCCAATCTTCGGGTTCGGGAGGCCTTTCATTGTCATTCAAATCCTCTCCATCAGGAAGAGATAACCCACTAAAAACAAGTCGAAACTTCAAAGCCGTTTCCAACATTATGTATGTGGAGTTCCAACGAGTGGGGACATCAAAGGATAAAGAAGATTTTGAATCTATGTTTGCTTTTTGCACAAGATCTTTGAATCTAAGTATTCTTGCAGGGGAATTCTTAACATATTTCACAGCATTTCTAATTCTATCAATGCACACACCATGTTCTCTAATACCATCCCACACAATTAAATTGATGAAATGAGCAATGCATCTAACATGAAGATTTTTTCCATCATTAATACATCCTGTTCTTCTAACCATTCTACTCAAGTGTGCACAAGCAACATCATTTGAAGAAGCATTATCAACAGTGACAGTAAAAAGTTTATCATCAATACCCCAATACTCTAAACATGCCTCAACTGCTTTTCCAATAGCCTCTCCTTTATGACTAGAAATTGGACAAAAAATTATGATCTTTTTATTCAATTTCCAGTCATTATCAATGAAATGAGCTGTAAGACACATATAATTAATTCCTTGTATTGAAGTCCAAGTATCAGTGGTCACATAAATTCTTTGACATGTCTTAAACATTTCTCTCAATTTCTCTTTTTCACTATAATACAACTTTAAACAATCACGAGCAATGGTAACACGAGATGGAATGTGAAATTGTGGACATGCAACTTGCACAAAGTGCCTAAAACCGGGTTTTTCCACATGCTTAAATGGTAACTCATCAACAATAATCATGTGAATCAATGCCTCTCTAACATCATTCAAGTTAATAATCCTACTCCCACACTTTAATTCACCACTCTCATGTTCTTGATCAAAATACAATTTAGTTTGCTTTTCTTTGCCCTTTTCTTTTTCTATATTAATAGGATTACCGAGACATGATTCTGCATGGTTTTTAACATTTTTGGAACCATTAAGATTACCATCAGCAGAAAAAGTTTTAGGACAAAACTTACATTCAACTTGTAGTTTTCCATTCTCGACGTACTCTAAGTAATATTTCCAATACTTAGCTTTCCTCTTACTTTTTCTGTTCCATATATATTCCCGCCCCGCTTTTAGCTTCTTACCAGGAGGCAAAGTAGATTGCAATTCTTCCATATCCTTTTCAGAAAGTGGCTGTGACGTTTGTTCAGAAAAAGAAGAAGACCGTTTGGATTGAGAGCTCTCCATCTACAATATAATTATATACAATATAAGTAATTTTAAAGTAACAATTATATACACATACCATTTTATAAAAAAATTTAAGAGCAACTTACATTGCAAGAATAAGAATCCGTGGTTCCTTGACTTCCTTCACTCCCTGCAAGAAAAAAACAAAATTAAGAACCCCTGAACTACACACAGGTTAGCCAACTTATTTAATCTTAATAATCTAAGTCTCTTACAAATCATGCACTTAGTTTATTTATCTAATAATCTGAGTCTCTTACAAAACATACTTGATTAAAATCCCAAAAAATACACATTCATTACAATAAAATCAGCCAAAATTTGTTCATTGTTCTTAACAAGTTTATTGGTTCTTAACAAGTTTATGTTCATTGTTCAATGTTTTGGTTTATACTTTTAGCAGCCTAGCAGGAATAAACACAAATTTTAAAGTATAAGTTAGCTTAGAAAGTGTCCATATATACACATTAGAAATATCAATACCAGGTAAATAGCGTATATGATACGGAGTATGAGTTAATTTAATAAGTGCAAGTCCATTCATTATTCATTAGAAAACCAAACAATGATTAATATAATGAATCACTAGTTCACTACTCATCCAAAAAATTTCTCAACGATCAAAATTTATTACGAAGTAGTAAGTTGTGCCGCATTATGTTGGATCAATTTGCAGGTTGGTATATATTCAACTATTCATAATGTACAATGTGAAATTGAATTGCCACATATAACATTCAAACACAGAGACAAATAATGCATACAATAGAGTACATACTTAGCAGTTTTCTGTATTATACAGAAATATTGATTGAGATAATGATGGATTTTTTTGTATTTCTCATCATCAAGACAAATTCAAGTGGAGGCATATATTACCTTGAATAACTTATACTTTGGAATAAACACAAGTTTTCGCACTAAATTAATCTTAATAATCATAATAAACACAAAATTTCGAACTAAATTTCGCACTTGAACCCTAAACCCTAAACTTCTTAATTCTTATGAACCCTAAACTCAAAAAAACCAAAAAAAAAAAAAACAAAAATTCGAAAGAGATGAACTAAAAATAAGAAATTCAACATGCAAACATCAAACAATCATTAAAAGCAATTGAAAATTTGAAACAAGAATAAACATATAAATTCTCACACTTAAATTTATTATTTCGAATTAAAAATACCAAAATTATAAGCGAATACTTACCGGATATTATCGGTGTGCATCACCTGAGAGAATGAGGGAGGTGTCGGCGGTGGGCGGTGGCCGGAGCGAGTGAGCGAGAGCCGCGTTGAGAAGTTGAGATTGAGGGAGACTGAGAGAATCAGTTAGGGCTTAGGGAGTTAGGGTTAGAACTTAGAAAAATGAAAGAGAAGCGTTAACGTCAGTTTCAATTTTTCAGAGTTTGGTTTTTTTTTTTTTTTTTTTTTTAAATTACGATTTTCCCGGGTTTCAGGTCCGGACCTGAAAACCCCGGGTCCGGACCGGGACCGGGAACCTGGATTTTTAAGAACCGGGACCGGACCTGAATCAATAGGTCCGGTCCGGTTTCGGGTCCGGTCCAGTTTTTGTACACCCCTACCTACAGTCAGCACCATTGTACAAGAGGACAACTGAGAGAAGTTATGGAGCTGCTCTCAACATCTCACATTCAGCCATCCATATATTAAAGAAACAAGGGAGACTGAGAACACATACAAGCACAAATCACCAAGCATTGACATCCAACCACAAAATAGCAAGAGTGAAATGGGTGTTAAATCATATACTGCCAGCCACACAGAATGGGGACCCCAAGTTTGTGGACATGCAACAAGTTGTCCACGTAGATGAAAAATGGTTCAACTTGAACCTTGAAACAAGGAGTTCTACCTTCTACCAAATGAGGCAAACCCATACATGTGCCAACAGTCCAAGAGGTTCAAAGTGAAAGGGATGTTCATGGCAGCCATATGGAAACCAATTTTTGCCCCCAATGGTGCATTAGTACATGATGGAAAGTATGGAATTTTTCCATTTGTCTATGAAAGCATAGCCAAGAAAAAAAAAAGCAAAAACAGGGAGGTTGGTGCTGTGGAAATCAAGGCAACACAGAATGGCAACAAAGAAGCCATAAGAGCAATGTTAATCAACAATGTCATTCCAGCAATCAAAGCTAAATGGCCTGCCCATCTACCCAAGGACATATGGATTCAGTGGGATAATGCCAGACCTCATCAAATTCCAAGGGATGAGGAATTTGAATCAGCCTGTCACTCTGATGGATTCAACATTCAATTCATTTACCAGCCAGCTCAGTCCCCAGACTTAAATGTGCTGGATCTAGGGCTATTCAATGTAATACAATCAATACAGTACCAATCTTTTCTCAAGAACCTAATGGAACTCATTGAAAAAGTGAAAGAGGCTTATGAGTTGTTCAACCCAGTGTTGAACAAGCACTGTTGGATAAGTCTACAATGTTTTATGGAAGAGATTCTGAAACACCAAGGAGGGAATAACTTTATCCTACCCCACAAAGGCAAAAAAAGGCTTGAGAGGATTGGGATGCTGCCAGAGCAACTAGAGGTGGAAAAGAATGTGGTTCAACAGGCTGTTGATTACCTCAACACTATTTTCATATCAACTGACCAAGGGATTGAAGAAGATGAAGGGATGCAAGTAGATGCTGACTGAACTCAAGTCAAAGAAATGAAGAAGGTTATAGTGAGACTGCCACACATAACCATTGAAAAGCTAAGAACCAGCATGTAACACAGTATGTGTTGTTATTTTTATTTTTTCATATTACAGTATGTCAATCATTGGTTAGGTGTATGTCTTTTGTTAAAAGTTATGCAAACTATTATTGTAAGGCAGTCTTAACAACCTATATTTGGGAAATGTACAAGTTTTTGGTAAATTTTATCAGTTCAATGATGGTTCTCTTATTTACAAGTGCTTACAATTAGGATGAGGTAACTGTGCAAAAAAAAACTCATAGCATCATTCCATCAGATGGGGTTTTTTTTTCACATACATTGCATAACTGGTTCCCTCAACAACAACTCTTATATGGAGTTGTTGGAGCAATTCCAAGTTATGAATGTTAAGTGTCAAATGAGTCCCTTCATCACTTGAATTTTGCAGGCACACACAACACAGTGAGGGACTCTTACTTCACCTAGGGACAAATATCACATGGGGGGACTCATACAGGGACAATCATGCAGGCAACAAGTTGATCATCATTCACCATAGCATTAACCCCGTTGCCAAATGGACATCAAAACATAACAGAAACCAGGGACAACCAGCATGTTCATTGAATGCAATTAAATCACCCACACAACCACAAATGAACACATATAAAACCAGAAATAGGAGAACCCAAAAAATAACAATATCATCAAATAACCATATGAACAATTTCCCAGTCACAGCCAACCACCAACCAGCATGAATAGCAAACACATCATGAATAGGTCCACCAGCAACCAAATGAATTCCAAACAGGTCAGGATGCACAACAAGCAACCTATACAGCCAACAACAACATACTGTGCACCAGCCTCAGGACAACAAACACAGTTTAAACAGGCCAACCACCATCCCACTAATTGTTTTTTTTTTTTGAAACATCCCAACCACCAAGCAAATCTTTCAGCTAACAAAATCCCACAGTTACTAGCAATCACTCTTAACACCGGAAATAGAGAAAAATTAGGGCAAACAACATGAAATACCAACAACAGTAAACAATTACAATCAATAATTGTCAACAGATAAAACTATCACTATATACGGAAATAAGCATGCAAATCAGGCAACTCAACGCAACTTTTGGAAACAATAGATCATCAAATCAGGGGAAAACTCAAAAACACAAGATAAAAGAGTCAATAAAATCTAGGTAAAGAATTGAGTTACGCTGCTAGATTAGTTGGAGGTAGTGGTGAAAGGGTTGTAAGACCCTTCACTTTCAACACCGTCAGCCACAGGGGACTCAGATCTGACGCGCTTTTTTCCAGAGATCTCTTGGGTAGACTTAGATTTGACCACTCCCACCACCTCCTCAACGGATCTGGCCTGTACTGGGGTTGCAACTGGGGTTTCATTATCATCGTTGTCCAGATTAACGATTTCAGGAGGCTTATTGACGGAACCCTCAACGTCTTTACCCAGATCTGGCTTCGAAGCCTGACCACGCTCCTCATCAGAGTTGTAAGGAGCCAGCTTTGCACCCCCTCCAGTTCTACGTTTCATATCAAGGTAGGTTGCAGTACGCGTCCCTATCAAACGCATCTTCCCAGTGCGTCGCTGGCACTTGTAGGTGGCAACAACGCCAGGATCTGGCTTTTTTGGGTTAGGGGAACTCATTTTTTAGGGGTTTTGGAAGAAATAGGTAAAAACCCAGTTCTGCCAAATTTAGGGTTTCAAACTGGAGAGAGAGTGAGATAAAGGAGGGGGTTTCTGTGAGAAGAGAGAGAGTGCGACAGCAAAAGACGAAAACAAAGCATAAATGTTGTAGGTAGGTGGAAGGAACCCAGATGAACAATCGCCATTAATGGTGGTGGGTGGATTTTGCATTCAATAGGGTAGTTGAGAAGATGAACAGAGATTGAGATGGTAAATGGGATGGGATGGGAACCCTAAATTTTTGGTGGGAATGGTTATATTAATTGGGTGGGTATTAATTTTAGGTAAGTAGTGTTAATCCTTGGCTTAGAATATAATCAGTTTTTTTAAAGGGCATTTTCGTAATTTTACACTTAAAAAATTTACCAAAAAAGGAAAAAAAATCAATTTGTTGTAAATAATAGGTAGCACCCCGATTAGGTAAATGTTGCAAATAACTAAAACCGGAGGAAGTATTTATTTATTGTACGAAGGAATTATGAAAATTTAAGCCAAAGTATGAATGACATTCACTATAACTAAATCATATTACGAGCTAGCTGGCTCAGGTCAAAGACTTGTTTCCTTATAAATTGCATAATATGTTCCTCAATTGTGCAAAATTCTTTTGAAACTTTAGGGTTATTAACTTAAGGTTGGCTTGATTAATTAGTTAATATGACCTAAATTCATATCCTTAGAATTGGGGTTGCTTGAATCACAATACATTTCCAATATATATAACGTTTAAAAATTTTGGGTTAAATTCTAATGAAAATTACTTAATAAAAAAAGAAAAATTACATTAAAATGTTATATATCATCGAATAATCTAAAAGACGAGACAGACTACATTCTCTTCATCCTCAAATCCACTATATCTTACTTCGATACATCTTCTAATTAATTCTGCTTTATACATCGACTCTCTATCTATATAAAATTAATTGAATGAATAAATAAATATTGAATTTTCCTACAATATACAAAATTTTGGTGTATGTTTACTTATCAAATTAAACTAAGTTGTCATACAATCAATGTCCTGCACCACCACCACTAGGGCCTGAAGACAGCCGTTGGAGCCAGTAACCCACCACATACTTAGCTTTCAAATAACCCGAATCATAGATATCTCCTCCATTATTATTACCATCATCGGACAATATCCTTATGGCATGCACCGAAGTAGTAGAAAGGCTTGAAAACGCTAGCAAGAGTACTAGCATGATCAAGACTAAACTCTTGTAATTATTGTTCATGATCGTCTTCATTGATTGTTTCTTCGTGAAAGCGCAAGATTTGTTGAAATATAGAGAACTTTGAGTTAGTTGATGTGTTTAGAAGAATAGTTGAGATCAGATGATAAGAAATTGGAGTATTTATAGTGTAGTTAGGTTGTTGGTAGTTGGACATTTTGCCAAGGAAAATGGACTTGTTGATTGTTGACGAGTACAAAATTGTAAGGCAGTGGCTTTTCTTGTTGACCAAGAATAAGTCAAAATATAGTATAGACTAATTTGAATTCTTCTGTGTATGAATTTGCCAATTGCTAGGCCAGGTCACAGCTTTGATCCATAGTTTTCCGAAATGATGAGGTCATGATACTTTATACTTGTTATACTGGACCAAGTAGGACTATAGTTTTACACTTGCAGGCCCAAGGCCCAGTCAATTTACTTGGGATAACTGCCTACTTGCCTAGTGCTTATTGTAGTAAAAGTTATATGGATTATTCGGTCAATTTTGTAGGGGTTATTCGGTCAGTGTTATAGGGATATCTAATCGGTATTATAGGAGTTACGTTAATTCTTTTATAAGTGGTCACACGATGTGGCCAGCCACATAAAAAACGAGTTGTTTAAAATAATTTATTCTACTTTAGTATTCGTTAGTTTTTATCTATGTTGCAATAGAATTTGAATTCTTTAATCTCATTCCTTATTTTTGCTTAGGTGACAATTGAATTTTTTAACTCAAAAATAATATATAGTTTAATTTTTAATTGTTTGTAATACTTTTGCTTATGTGGCGTGCTAAATATTTGATTAGTGGTTTTTTAATCCTCTATAAGTGGTGTTTTCAGCCCGTTTTTGTAGTATTCTCTCCTATTTTTATTTCTGCCTAACTCATTTTTTACATTTGTAGTCTATTTGGTGTCTTCGTCTCTTTTGCATGTTTGTTCATGTTTGTAAATGCAAGAAGTAAAGTGTGGATTTAGCAAGGCATTGAAAAACTCTAAAGAAACGCCCAACACCCTAGGAGCAGGTGTGCACCTACATAGAATCGGGCACTCCTCCCTGTTTCTTGAAATTTGCCATTTGCTACTTAACACAAGGAGCGAGCGCGCGTCAAGGGAGGAGCGGCTGCTCCTCCTGTTCTTCACATTCTACCTCTCTTTGAAAAACTAGGATTGGTCGCGCACATTAATAAGGAGTGGGCGCTCCTACATGTGGGAGCCGACACTCCTATCTTTCCGCTAGCGTTTGTCTCCCATTCATGTTCATTAGTTTAATTTAATTGTCAGGTAGTTGATTAATCGAAACCTAATTTGTGACCGAGCTAGCTAATTAATTCGTAGCTGTTTCACATTTTCAACGTTCTTATAACCATTTTTTGTGGATACGATCCTTTACTTGCCATATATATGCTTGTCTTTTGGTAGTTTAGGTTGTTTGACTTTAGGGTTTTTGACCAACGACCGAATATCCCCTATGTCAAAGCTTCCAAAAAACTATTTGTCCTTTATATAATCATTGGTTTTGTGACTGTGGGATGTCCGGGTTGTTTATTGAATTTTAGGATAAAAACTTTGTCTTTACTAGTTTTGTGATTGTGGGATGTCTAGGTTGTTTATTTTTAGGATAAAATCTTTGTCTAGAGTACCAACACTTAACCTATCCTATATCACCGTTGAAATCATATTTTAAAATAAAAATAATCCTTTTCGATTCTGGATATTTTATGATAGCTTAGCTTACTATTAATTTTTGAAATATTAAGAACAATGAATATTATAGAATTGACGTATTCCGTATGTGAAAAACAATGGTGTACTTCCTATAATTTCATTAATATATCATATATATGATAATCTCTATGTTAATTCATTTATAGAAATGTACTTCTTATGTGAAAAACAACTGTGTAATTTGTGAATTTTTTATTAGCTAGTATATATGATGATCTCTATTTTATTTCAATCATCAACCCATGAATTTGTGTATATTTATTAGCTAGTATATATGATGATCTCTATTTTATTTCAATCAATCATCAACCCATGAATTAGTGATCGA